TTGTCCAGTCTTGGAAGAACCATAGTGAACAAGAGTAACATGAGGGGGCTTCCTTATGATTCCTAAGGGAAAAGTAAAGATTTCTTCCAGGGAACATCCAGGGGCTTGGCCTCATCAGAAGAGGGCCACATAGGTGTTTATTTACATGGTAATAGAGGAATAAGAGGGAAGGATCATAAGAGCCACCTAAAATTATATCTGGGCCAGGTTTTCATATGCTATTGTAAATCTAAACTAAAGAACTTCTGTATATGGCTCCAAAGAGAGCACTGAAAAACAATTGCCTCAATACCAGATTAATTCCCATTATCATTTCCTTAGTGCAGTGAAAACAAATTGTCACCCCCTTTTCAATGCATCCTAGTGTGTTATCCAAATTACTTGCACTTATCCACCAAATGTTGTGTGAAAGCTGAAAAAATACCCTATTTTCGCTCCCAGCTCATTCTCCTGCTTCTTTTCCTCAGTGCAAACTCTCCATCCCTCTCACATATCCTCCTTTCCTTCTCTTCACAGTTTAGTTAAAGTGCTGGCTTCTGTGTCATTTAGAACAACCAAAACCTATAGAAATATGGTTTAAAACAGATGCACTGATTTGGGATGAGAAGCAAATGTTGGATGCTCACTCACTACTTCTTAAAGGCTTTAATTTACAGCAAGAATGAAAAGAGTTGTCCAACAGGAGCATGAGGAGTCAGCTTTGAAAACTGAGAAGAGGAGAGAGACGCCAGGCTCGTTTTGAAGTTGAACTTAACAACCAGAACCTGTATTTCCCCGAAGCAAAATGATAACAACTTTCTTAGAATGATTTAAGAATTCCCTGGAGACATTTAGCCCAGGCCCCTGTGTAGGTCCATCTTTAGAATTCTCCTAACAGGGCTTATCAGAGAAGATTGCAATTTAAAGCAGCAAAAGTTTAGTGTCTGTTATCAGCTCTAGTTTCTCTTTTTCTTTTTTTTTCAAAAGGAGGCAGATGTTTTACAGTGTTAACTGTTTTGAAAGGTCCTACATTTCCAGTGAACAGAGCACTTTTGTGAAAAAGGCTCTGAAAAGCATTATTCGGGCAAAAATGCATCAAAGGGATGTGAGTTAAAAAGAGAAAAGTTTGCCAATGTAGAGATTGAAGGCAGCGTGTGCTGACAGGTACAATTATAGCCAAATAATTGAATCTTTTAAGAGAGATTTGGTGAGATAAGTTGATCATTGTGGACTCACATCGGAAGCGTGTTCATAATTAGATACTCAGGGGTCCAGCTGTGGACTGACATAGGGATCGTGAGCTACTTCACATGCAGGATATAAGAGCTATTGCACTTTGTAAAATAGGGTGAAATAGCACGATTTCAGCCCAGCAGAACTCAATTAACACAAAGGTTGGAGAGAAGGCTTAGCCTTCTCCCTCAGTCTCTCAATAGCCTGGAACCTCTTTCAGTCCCTCAGAGTCACAGTTAACCCAGCTTTTAAGCCCTTCAATCTTAAAGAAACCCCAACAAAGTCAACTTTTCAAAAAATTAATTAATTGCTTTTATTAGTAACATCAAAAATCTTTCTTTGGTGTTTGGTTAAAGAGTTTCCAGGCACTTCAGTTCCTTTGTCTACACCACGTGTTTTAGCCAAAGACATTGGGATGGAGAACAATCTGGTGTTTATTTCTGGGAGTGTTCCATCAAAGTTGTAAAGGATAATAATCTTGTTTCTGGTCTTGAAATGTAGGGTCTTAAAGCCCTGGCTCAGTGAGAAGTGACGTTCCTGTACGTGCTGCCTCTACACTTGCTCAGGCATCTGAGTGGCAGTGTTGTCTCAGGGTCTCTGTGTGGAGTTGGGGGGCCGAGGGGCGTCCATAGCATTCCATTAATGATTCTGTTAGACATCTTGCTGCAGGGTTTCACTCTTAAAGAAACAATATAACTCATTCTGCTATATTGTATGATTTTTATCTTCCAAATTTATAATTTCTTTTCTCTTCTTGTATGTATGGTTGGATTACCTTGTTACTGAAATGCTAGTAAAAGTTCTTAAGTTGGCTGGGAGTTACGGGTTTCTGATAATGACACCCTAACCTAAAATCCAGGTGACAGCTCCTTTCCTGCCATGGAGAATCGACTCCTTGATGTCTCTGGATGTCTAGTATTTTCCTTCTTCTGTCCTTTTTAACTGCCAACTTTCTTCCCTTTCCCTTCTACCTGTAAGCTTTTGGGCCCCACTGGACCCAGGTAGATAGGACACTGTCTTCTGCAGCAGCCTTTGTCAAGTATTTAACAAGCTCGAAAGTAAATCCAGTGTTGCCCCCAGAATCCACCAGCAAGTAGCCACAACCTACCCTCTTCTCTCATCATGAAGCACTTAGCACAGTGCTGGCCCATAGTAAGCATTCAATACAGCTTGGCCGCAATAATTGTGATTTTAGTTTCTGCTTAACTTGCTTATTATATCACAAGCTAACACTCATCATCTTCAGTATTTCCCTGGAGTTTGACACCTGGCCAGTTTTGGAATTATTGTCATGTTTTCTGCCTGGATCGGTAGGGATGCTTTAGTATTTACATCATAGGGCTACAATGGGGGGTATGCAGATTTGTTAATGCTGGGCCACTTGATGCTAATTCCAACTTTGGTGCAGACTGCACACCTTTTAAAAAACAGATCACAGGAGTGAGTCTTTAGGGTCCACTCCCAAGATAGAAGTATTAGACCTTTAACTGAATCAAATGCTCATGGAGGAGTAATTAACTACTACTGAACTTTCTTTCACCGCCTTTCCTTACTTCCCAGTATTATGATGTAATTTTAGTGCAATTAAACTTGGGCAGCTCAAAGTTACATAATCACATTCAGCTTTAGTTTCAAGTACTACTTGCTTGAAGCCTGCTAGGAGACTCCTAGCATCATCCATTGTGACAGTTGGTCTCCACCCTGGCTGGGTCTTATTATCGCCCTGAGAGCATTTAAAAAAATACAGATGCTCAGGTCCATCCCAGAGAATCTGATTGAATTGGTCATAAGTAGGGCTCAGTCACTGGTATTTTTTAAAAGGCTTCTCAAGTAATTGGAGGTCTGAGGACCAGTGAGTGGCAGCAAAAGAGACTTAGGACATACTGACTGCATTTTTACTTGTACTAAGCAACTCGGTTAAACTGTCTCCCCATGTCCTAAGCTGTGCCCCCTCCCCCTTCTCATTTACTCCATATCTGAGTAAACAGAGCAGAAGGAGCAGGGCTTTGAGCAGAGGAATTTTCTTTCAAATCTTGTCTCTGTCTCTTATTAATAACGTGACGTTGGAAAAATAAAATTTACTAAATTTTGGTTTTCCCATTTTTCAAATGGGAATAATCTGAATTCTTTGTAAGTGAACGTTACTAGTAAGTGAAATTACTAGTGTGATACGAAAATATTTAGTATAGTACCTAGCACAAAAAAGAGCTCAGTGTATTTTAGCTTTCTTTTTTTTTCTTTTCCTTTAATTTCTTCATAGGTAAAATGAGGGGCTTGGACAATGTTTAAATTCCCCTTATGCCTTAAAATCTAATGAGTCTGATTCTTTGTCTTAAGCAATGTGATTAGAGAGTAACCACCACATATTCTTTTCCACAAATTCAGTTTGTGTGCAAAAAAGAAAGTTATTGTCACACAGTTGATAGGAAATGAATTTGGAGTTTCTTTTTATATTGTGTCCAAATATTCTCACTTGGCCGCCCTTTCAACCTGATGTGTCTATGAAGTGCCTGGCCATGACTGGGGATGTGGTTTGAGTTGTGGGAACAAGATTTTTAGATTGAGTAATGCCGTCTGTTTTATGTGGGCATCAATCTTGTGCTCTTGACCACCATTCACTTGCTTCAACCACATGACCATCCAACTTACTTTATGCTTGTAATAATGGTGGTAGCAGCTGGTGTTTATATTATAGCACCTATTTGAAGGGATCCACTTCTGAGGAGGGCAGGTGAAAACAGAAAACTTTCAGTTGCTACCTGGCTAATTAGTTTTGTCAAGAAAATAAAACGCTCCTATCTTGATCCATTCCCAGTGAGTCATAGGGGAATCCACTCCAATATAGGTTGGTATTAGGGAGCAGTCCGTGATTCACAGCAATGACTCAGGAAGGCATCTGCCTTGCTTCGTTGTGACACATACCTGCCTTTGCCTGGTCATCTGGCTCCATGTAGAAGCTCAGGCAAGTGAGAGAGATTCTAAGCTTTTATTTTTACCTAGTTCAAGTTAAACAAAGCAGAGGACTGGGTCTTCCAGTGTGCGAACTCAAGAGAGTTGCTTATGTTATAGGCAGATAAATTGTCTGTGGGAAAAACCACTTTGATGATGATGATATGACCCTCTGTTGTTTCTCAGTGCCTGGCAAAGTGTAACATGGGATGCAGTGCAATTTAAGGGTTAAGAGTAAGAGATCAGAAATCATGACAAGCTGGATTCAAATTTTGGCTCCACTATCACTATCTATAGCAATAATTAGCAAACTTTTTCTGTAAAGGGCCAGCTAGTAAATATTTTAGGCTTTGGGTGCCATATGGTCTCAGTCACCACTACTCAGGTCTGCCATTTTAGTCAGAAGGAGTCATAGACAACACATAAATGAATGGGCATGACTGTGTTCCAAGAAAACTCAGTTTACAAAAGCAGACAGCAGGCCGGATCTGGCCTGTGGCTACAGTGTGCCCACCCCTGATCTTTAGGATCATGAACTAATACGTTACATTAATTCTCTAAATTTCTCTTAAGGATTAAAAGAAACACTTACCAGGCGACTACTTGAAAATAGTCACTATTATTTTATTAAAAATATTGTGTATTTAAGATGCCATTAATTGTAAGTACATTTGGATTTCAGGGATGTTAAAATGTGACAAAAGTTCATGGAATTGATGAAATGTCCTAACAGTAATTTATTCTAGGAACAATGTTATATTTAAGATTTCAAGTCTTGTTCTACTAGTGATAGTTTAAAACTTCTCGTATGACATTTCTTTGTGATTTTTTCTTGTCAGAGACACATGTCATGAGCTCTTGGGACACGTTCCACTACTTGCAGACCCTAAGTTTGCTCAGTTTTCACAAGAAATAGGCCTGGCATCTCTGGGAGCATCAGATGAAGATGTTCAGAAACTAGCAACGGTGAGTTCATTTTTTAACTTAGAAGACTTCTGTTTATGTCCATTTGTAAGGTAAAGAAAGTTTCAGAGTTACTGACTATGAATTTTAAGGCAAACGTTCTAGAGGGGGCATAGTGACTTTACCTTTGTCCATGTGTTCCTTTGAAGCACAATATGTCCTTGACTTACTAACCATCAAAATATTTGTATTTCTTCCTTCTCATTCAGGGATTGGCTAGATAGTAAATATTTTAGGCTTGCAGGTCATAAGCTCTCTGTCAAAGCCACTCTCGGCCACTGCGTTGCAAAAGCAGCCACAGACAATATGTAAATGAATGAGTGTGGCTTTGTTCCAACAAAGCTTTATTTAGAAAAGCTGGTAGTGCGCCAGGCTTGACCTGTATGATGAAATTTGCTGGCTCTTGTTCTAGTCCAATGTTTATTTCTTAGAAACATTAGTGGGGCCGGCCCATGGCCGAGTGGTTAAGTTCACGCGCTCTGCTTCAGCGGGTCAGGATTTTGCCAGTTTGAGTCCTGGGCGCAGACATGGCACTGCTTGTCAGGCCATGCTGAGGCGGCATCCCACATAGCACAACCAGAAGGCCCCACAGCTGAAAATACACAACTATGTACCAGGGGGCTTCGGGAGAAAAAGGAAAAAAAATCTTAAAAAAGAAGAAACATTAGTAATGGTAAAAAGTACGCATTTATGGTAAAGTACAGACTGTTCTTAGAATTCTCTCTGATTAATTGACATGGGTGTGGTCAGACACAATTTGAGTCAGCAATAAGAAGCTCAGACTAAACGATTATTATAAGTACAAAACCAGAAAAATATTTAATAGATACTATGGTCTTAGCAAGGCTCTTCTCAAAACCAGCAGTATAAGAAGAAAGGTATAATGTTGGCAGCTACCTTTGAGATGCTGGACAGCCAGCCCGAGCAAGCTCATGTGCCTACCTTAGTGCCATTTCAAAGAGCCCAGGCTGAGAACGAGCAGGTTTAACAGACTTGCTTGCCTACAGGGCCAGGCCTTTCAGCTAAATGAGCAAATGAGCCTAAATGAGCTAGCAGAGGAAGAAAGAATGGATCTTAGGTTGTGTGTATTTGACACAGGTACACATTGATGGCATATTAGGCGTGCAAGAATATTTGTCACTCTCACCAAGAAGTAAGTTTTCTCCTAGATTTCTTAAAACACACAGCCCTTTCAGTATACCTTTTGTTTCCTACTTTTGATAGATATATAGGAACTGAGAAATATTTTTCTACTAAAAGAGAAACACAAGTGCAAAAGTCATGCTGTTGATGTCATTGGGGGTGAACAGGGGTCAGCAGGGGCTGCAGTGAACTTGGGAGCACATGCTTCTTCTGTAGCACAAGGCTGCTTCTCAGTTCCCACTGATGACTGCCAGGTGGGCGTGCAGGCCTTTGTGTTGCCAGATCTCCAAATTTTTGAGAGAGACTGGAAATCTAGATTTCTAAATGAAATTTAATGATTTTTAAATTTTGGCTCATAAAAACAAATCTAGCTTTGTGAGCTGAGGAAAATATATTGTAGACTGAATCAGGATTTTGATATCCAACTTGTAACCTCTGCCCTAAGGATTGGCTCATGTATATTGTCTGTCTATTACTGCATAGTGAATAGGCCTAAAACTTAGTGACTTAAAACAATGAACATTTACAGGCATACTTTGGAGACATTGCGGGGTTAGTTCTACACCACCCCAATAAAGCAAATATCGCAAGTGAGACACACGAATTTTTTGGTTTTCCAGTGCGTATAAAAGTTATGTTTACACCATATTGTAGTCTATTAAGTGTGCAATAGCATTATGTCTAAAAAACGTGCATGCCTTAATTAAAAAATACTCAGTTGCTGAAAAATGCTAACCATCGTCTGAGCCTTCAGTGAGTCGTAATCTTTTTGCTGGGTGTTGCCTCGATGTTGATGGTGCTGACTGACCAGGGTGGTGTTTGCTGAAGGTGGGGGTGGCTGTGGCGATTTCTTAAAATAAGACAACAGTGAAGTTTGCTGCATTGATTGACTCTTCCACGAATGATTTCTCTGTAGCACGCGATGCTGTGTGATAGCATTTTACCCACAGTAGAACTTCTTTCAAAATTGGAGTCAATCCTCTCAAATGCTGCCCCTGCTTTACTGGCTAAGGTTATATGATATTCTAAATCCTTTGTTGTTGTTTCAACAATCTTCACAGCATCTTCACTAGAGTAGATCCCATCTTAAGAAACCACTTCTCTGCTCATCCATAAGAAGCAACTCTTCATCCATTAAGGTTTTATCATGAGATTTCAACAGTTCAGTTACCTCTTCAGGCTCCACTTCTAATTCTAGTTGTCTTGGTATTTCCACCACATCTGCAGTTACTTCTGCCACTGAAGTCTTGAACCCCTCAAAGTCATCCATGAGGGTTGGATTCAACTTCTTCCAAATTTTTGTTAATGTTGATATTTTGACCTCTTTCCATGAATCATGAATATTCTTAATGGCATCTAGAATGGTGAATCCTTTCCAAAAGGTTTTCAATTTACTTTGCCCAGATACATCGGAAGAATGACTATCCATGGCAGCTTTAGATAGCTTTAGCTTATGAAATGTATTTCTTAAATAATAAAACTTGAAAGTCAGAATTACTCCTTAATCCATGGGCTGCAGAATGGGTGTAGTATTTGCAGATGTGAAAACAACATTTATTTCATTATACATCTCCATCAGAGCTCTTGGGTGACCAGGTGCATTGTCAAGAGCAGTAATATTTTGAAAAGAATCTTTTTTTCTGAGCAGCTGGTCTCAACAGTGGGATTAAACTATTCAGCAAACCATGCTGTAAACAGATGTGTTGTCATCTGGGGTTTGTTCCATTTTAGAGCGCAGGCACAGTATATTTAACACAGTTCTTAAGGGCTCTAGGGTTTTTGGAATGGCAAATGAGCATTGGCTTCAACTTAAAGTCACCAGCTGCATTAGCCCCTAACAAGAGAGTCAGCCTGTCCTTTGAAGCTTTGAAGCTAGGCACTGACTTCTCCTGTCTAGCTATGAGAGTCCTAGATGGCATCTTCTTTCAATATAAGGCTATTTTGTCTATATTGAAAATCTGTTGTTTGGTGTAACAACCTTCATTAACGATCTTAGCTAGATCTTCTGGAGAACTTGCTGCAGCTTCTCCATCAGCACTTGCTGCTTCACCTTTCACATTTATGGTGTAGAGATAGCTTCTTTACTTAAACCTCATGATCCAACCTCTGCTAGCTTCAAATTTTTCTTCTGCAGCTCCCTCACCTCTCTCAGCCTTCACAGGATTGAAGAGAGTTAGGGCCTTGCTCTGGATTAGGCTTTGGCTTAAGGGAATGTTGTGGCTGGTTTGTTCTTCTATCCAGACCATTAAAACTTTCTCCAGATCAGTAATAAGGCTGTTTCACTTTCATATCATTTGTGTGTTCACTGGAGTACACTTTTCATTTCCTTCAAGAACTTTTCCTTTGCATTCACAACTTGGCTAGTTGGTGCCAGAGGCCTAGCTTTTGGCCTGTCTTGGCTTTTGACTGCCTTCCTCCTTAAGCTTAATCATTTCTAGCTTTTCATTTAAGGTGAGAGACGTGTGACTCTTCCTTTCACTTGAACACTTAGAGGCCATTGTAGGGTTATTAAGTGGCATGATTTCAATATTGTTGTGTCTCAGGGAATAGGGAGGTCCAAGGAGAGGGAGAGAGATGGGAGAATAGCCGGTCAGTGGGGCAGTCAGACCACACAACATTTATCGATTAAGTTAATCTTATATGGTCATGGTTCATGGCACCCCACAACAATGACAATAGTAACATCAAGATCTCTGATCACAGATTACCATAAAAAATGTAATTATAATGAAAATTTTGAAACATTGCAAGAACTACCAAAATGTGACACAGAGACATGGAGTAAGCAAATGCTGTTGGAAAAATGGTGCTGATAGACTTGCTGGACGCAGCGTTGCCACAAACCTTCAATTTGTAAAAAATGCAGTTTCTGCTAATTGTAGTAAACTGAAGTATGTCTGTATTATTTCATAGTTTCTGTATTTGGGAGTTTGAGAACAGCTTAGCTGAGCGGTTCTGACTCAGAGACTCTTCTGTAGTTGCTGTTAAGATGTGGGATGGGTCTGTAGTTGTCTGAAGATTTGGGAATCTTCTTCCAAGTTGGCTTATTCATGTGACTGTTGGCAACTGGCTTCCTCCAGAGCAAATGATGAGAGACAGAGGCAGAGATTGAGGGGAGGAAGTTGTGATGCCTTTCTGACTTGATTGTATGCACTTCACGTGGGCCATATTCTATTTATTAGAGAGGACTCCCTCCAGCCCACACTCAAAGGGAGGGGAATGAATCTCTGGAGAAAGGAGTGTCAAAGTATGTGCAGACATCTTTTAAAACCACCACAGCACGAGTCCTGAGTCCCGTTACTTAATTCTCAAACCTTGGCTCTGGCTTTAAACTCCACGTTTGAAACCTTTTCCATGCCTTTCAAATCCCCCTTGAAATTTTCTGGTTTAAACCTGTGACATCCTACAGCTCCTATTTTTGATCAGGGATGAATGTATTGCTTACTTGTCTGACTCTGAATGGCTACAAACTGAGATTTGACTCTGCCAGGCTGTGTGTGTGTGTGTGTGTGTGTGTGTGTGTCCAAAGAGAAGAGGAAAGGAATAAGGTAGGACTTTATGGATGTAATGTAGGTGGATCCTAGTGAGCGCTCTTATTCCTTTCTTAAAAGCAGTAATAAGAAAGCAGTTTTATTGTTCTTTACTTTTACAACCCATCAAATGGTGATTGATTAATTCCATCATTCAAAGCAACATTTATGAAGAATATGGCATGGTCCTCACTTTTGGGTAATTTATAGCCTATGTAGATAAAACTAAGATTTTTCACAGGAGATAAAGTTAGTACTAAGTCTTGAAAGATGAGACAAAGTCAGGTAAGTGGAAAAAGGAGCAGGGGAATAGAGGGATGGTTTCAGCTA